GCGCAATGGGGCAGGACGGCTCCTGGACCAGGTGACGGCGTCTGCGAGGGACCACGGACGGCGATGATGGTCAGGGGGCGGGGCCGTCGGTGGAACTCCTGGGGTGGCGGCCCGGGAGTTTCCTGTACATTAATGATGTAATGAGAGTTTTTTCGGGACTTACTTCATTACCCTAATCAAATATAATTAGTTTGCAAACCATAACAGGATAGGTTAGTTAAAATCCAGTTTAGGTCAGTTTAAGGTGAATAACCATGGTATCTACCCATGAAAACGCTCAATGATGAAACAATCTCGACCTACCTCGCTGGTCACCAGGAAACGCTGATCCTTCTGGTGCTCCAAGGCGCACCACTCCAGCGTTTCTCTTAATTCGGCCAGGTTCTCTTCAGCCTCCACGATGTGCTGAAGCTTTTTCCTCACCGCAGAGAGAAGAGCCTTGATGTTGTAAGGAGGGGCAACCTTTCTCCATTGCCAGAATCTTCTTTTAGGCGTAGAGGGGCGGGTTGGCGGTGTGGGCTTCTGCTCCTCAGGAAAGAAGAGGCTGTGAAAGACCCTCTGGCATTTCTTGTCGAGGATGGTTGATGGAGGTTCATTGGCAGAAAAGCTTCTGAACCGAAACTCCTCGGCGAAGCGGATTTTAGGGGAGCAGTATTCTTGCTCCCCCCGCCTTTCATTATCTTGGAGGAGCTCAAGCTCCTCCGCAAAATACTTCCTTATGATGTTATCATAATCTTGAGGGGGCCGATTTCCTTCTTCATCTTGCTTATTTCTCCTCTTGGCTTTGTAGAAATACATCTTGTAATGGCTATAGGATCTAACTATTGTTGGGGGGTTTCTCTTGTTAGAGTTTGAAGAAAGAAATCCTCAATATAAATGGAGAGTGTATAGCGTTGACACTTTTATCACATACTATAACATAGTATTTATTAATTTTATTATTTTTTATTAACAGAATGGTCATTTTTATGTTTATATTTTGCTACTCTGTAAATTTCCCTCGTGGCTTATCTTTTGTTTACCATTCTTAGTTTCTCCTGGCCTGAAATAAATTTTGTTTCCTCCTGAAGTTTTTGTCTTCCCTAATTTTCCATGTGGCATTTTGGTGGAGATGCTGGGTAAGATAGGGAAGACAAACTGAAGACCGCCGAGAAGACCTTGAAGCCATGGGTGCTGTGATCTACATTTTCGGAGACTGACTCCAGGATTCCACCGCCGTGATAAAGCCAAGACTTCCCTCGAAGATGACGATGTCCCTATAGACGATACGACGACAAAGGCGCCCTTCACGCCGCAAGAAAAAGGATGCAAAGGTACTAGGGACAAAGTTCCAAGACTTCGATGGAATCCTTGGCAGAAGCACGTCAAATCCACGTTAGTATCTACAATAATTGCTAGCTGTGGGTCACAGCTCCCATAGGGAAGAAGCTATGTAACATAGTATTTATTCATTTTATTTATGTAACAAAGTATTTATTAATTTTATTATTTTTTATTAACAGAGTGGTCATTTTTATGTTTATATTTTGCTACTCTGTAAATTTTTATCGTGGCTTATCTTTTGTTTACCATTCTTAGTTTGTCCTTGCCTGAAATAAAATTTGTTTCCTCCTGAAGTTTTTGTCTTCCCTAATTTTCCACGTGGCAATATACTATAACATATATATGAGCTGTATTATTGAATATATTAGAATACCTGATATATTTCAGAAACACACAATAAAATCACCTCTCTCATTCATTAATCATCCATAATATACGCCTTTAATTAGTTTAAGTATTATTTTTGAGTGTGTCTGTTTCTCTATATTCACCTACACATCTAACTCTGCCTTTGCCGGTCCCAAGCCTGGATGAAAAAGGAGAAGGGGGAGCAGTAACAACTCACTAAAAAACCTGGGCTCAGCTGGCCCGGTTGATAGTACCCTGTAAGGGCTCCAGGGATACAGGATGAGCAGCATTTGTACTCCATGTTAGGAGCGGCTGCACATGGCGTCTGTTCCTCATGTCAGAGGCGGCCATTTCTTTTGGAGCTAAGTCAGCCTGCCACTGAGTAGTGCTCCCAGTCTTAATGACAAAGGCATTCTACTTCACCCAGTGTGGAGATAAGAAAGAAGAAGACCTACACCTCAATAATCCAACTATTGAGTTAGTTCATAGTCCAAAAGGTGTTCATTGGTTATTAAACTCGGTTATCCCCTCGAGTAATAAAGTTGTATAAGATCAAAGCTTCGATTATGTGAAGTTCAACTTTCCAGTAATATATTTAAATATATAACACACATCAACCCGTTCTACAAACCGTTTGGTTTTCGACCACTAGGACCCGGGTTCGATTCCCGCATTGGACATTTTTTCTGTTAAAAAAAAAATGCTCCAATGGCCCCCGATTCTTGCAAAAGTCCAACCCCCACCAGCGAGTGCAAGTAACCAAACGGGGCTCTGGCATTTGTAAGTGCAAAGTCGAACTGCTTTTCACATGTGTAGACATGTGGTGCGCTTACAGTAAAAAAGCAGTCGCTAACTACCCACCATGATTATCATGGCCTGTACCACGTGTACTAGGGATAAGCAAAAAAAAAAAATGTAATCTTTACACAAGGGGGGATAAGAAACAAAAACAACAGAATCACATCATGGCACTTGTGTTTCGCAGCTTCCATTAAAATGGGGGATAAGCCTGGGGAATAAGCCTACATTATAATGCAGCAGCCCTGCTTGGAAGAATCGTTGCCAACGATCTCAGCTGGGTCGCTGCGGACGCGCTTGAGGGATACGGTGGGGGATGGCGGGGGGTAGGAGTAGGTGAAGTGGCGGCCGTCGGGTGGGCTGGCGCCGCGGCTCCGCATGTCGGCCCGGTGCTTCTTCAGCTCGGCCAGGGTACCGTTGCCAGCTGGTGTCCCGCTGTAGGAAGGGCTCGTGTTGACTGTCACGTGGATCTCCACCTTCACCGACTCATTGTTGGCTTCCTCCGTAGCCTTGCCCTTGATGCGGCGCAGCGTGTCCGTGTCTATAGCTAAAGAAAGTATATGTTTGGGTTACAGATTTCACTCTAAAAATCCTGAATTCAACTGACTCGGTTGATGGTCCTCAGCAAGGGTCCCACTCCAGGAATACAAAGGAGCTGTGTCTGTACTCATGTTAGAGTCGGCAGTAAAGGCTTCCATGTTAGGAACAACCACAAAATACAGGCAAAGTGTGCCTGGATCATGGTGCCATGATCAACGAAAGCTGCAACCCTATACCCCCATTCCATGAGATCATGAATTCATGGAATTCGTGTAATCTTTACACAAGTGGATAAGAAACAACAACAACTAATAGATTTTTCAACTCGATTTAATATATAAATTAATGTGAAAAATATTATGATTTACTTTATTTTTATTATAAATAATGAAATCTTCCACCCCAGACCCTCTTTTTTATGTAAGTCATATTAAAGTGCTTTATAAAAATTTGACTCTTTCAAAATATTTTTCAACTTACTCACTCACGATGACAATGCTATTGTTTGGAACTTTTAATTGGGTCCTATTTTAAATAATCAACCATGACCTCTTTGTGATTAAAATATTAATACAGTAGAACTTGGATAATTCGAACTTCTTTAATTCGAAAACCTCTTTAATTCGAATATTTATCTTGGTCCCTAGAAGCCTTAAGCCTTTATTCAAAACTTCTTTAATTCGAATTTTTGGATAATTCGATTTTTTTTATGGTCCCTTGGGGTTCGAATTATCCAAGTTCGACTGTAATTACTTTATATATGTGACTCAGAGCTTCTTTCGAAAAAAACTAATACTTGTAATAATTACAAATATTTTTGAAAATAGAGCAATCCATAAATAAATCTTTATTTTAAAAGGCATATATTGGATCAAAATATCATTTATTTTACCAATATTTCAGTTAGCTGAACGCCAACCTTTATCAAGGTGTTATAACATTTTAAAGTGTTACGATGTACTAGAGCGCCATCTGTTATCAAATTATAAAACTATTTTAGAGGCGTAATATTCTTTTTAAAATAAAATAATTTCTACTGTCCTTACTGCGATGGAAAAATTAAAGGGAGGGCCTGGCTCATCAGTGGTGAACCCTCCCGGTTAAACTGGCGAAACTGCTGGGAGGGTTCACCACTGATGAGCCAGGCCCTCCCTTTAATTTTTCCATCGCAGTAAGGACAGTAGAAATTATTTTATTTTAAAAAGAATATTACGCCTCTAAAATAGTTTTATAATTTTAAAGTGTGTCTTTAAAATGTTATAACACCTTGATAAAGGTTGGCGTTCAGCCAACTGAAATATTGGTAAAATAAATTATATTTTGATTCAATATATGCCTTTTTAATTAAATTACAAATATATAAGAAAATATATAAATATGGTTATTATAATTTCAATGCTATCCATCGATGAAATTTGTAAGGATAATATTATGGCGATGTTTTTCTTATGATATTTATTATCAAATATATTTCTACTCATACATGGATATATAATGAGATATGGGGATATTTCAATATTTTATATCAGTTCTAATTCTTTTTTTTCTCAAATTCTTAAAAGAGTTTGTAAGGGTGCGACCATTGCTGGACATGAGAATATGTGAGTAGGTTCCACATCAGGACAATTGTTACATTATAATAAATATAATATATTAATATATTATATAATATATATAATAATAGGGTAGCCTAGTGGATATGGCATCTGCCCGGTAAGCGGAACATTGTGGGTTTGATTCCCATCCCTGGACACTTTTATTTTTCCGTTCATCATTACTCTTTATAATTCACCCTTTCATACCTCCTCCAAAAAGGTTAGAAATAGTCAATATTTCACCTTGAAATAAAATTTTGATTTTTCGTTGAAAAGAAACTCATGTAAGGGTGCGACCATTGCTGGACATGAGAATATGTGAGTAGGTTCCACATCAGGACAATTGTTACATTATAATAAATATAATATATTAATATATTATATAATATATATAATAATAGGGTAGCCTAGTGGATATGGCATCTGCCCGGTAAGCGGAACATTGTGGGTTTGATTCCCATCCCTGGACACTTTTATTTTTCCGTTCATCATTACTCTTTATAATTCACCCTTTCATACCTCCTCCAAAAAGGTTAGAAATAGTCAATATTTCACCTTGAAATAAAATTTTGATTTTTCGTTGAAAAGAAACTCATGCGGTGTAACTTCAAGTGTTGTTTTACAATTGTTACATGTCCTATAGGTTCTTGTACTATCTGGATGTATTGTCATTCCTTTATAGTGTTTCAATATGAGTCTTGTTATTGTTTTTGTAATTTTTCTCTCAGAGTTTATTTCGTATATTCTGTCAAAGTTAATTGTTTATGTAAAAGGTAAAAATCCTATATTGTTGATAATAATGATTACTATACCTCTTCTTCAAAGTAACGATACTTCGGCCAGTAATTCTTTTTTATTGTCTCGACGTTTCGACAATAATCTTTTGTCCTCGTCAGGAGCGAACAAAAATTGAAACATTTGGCAAGGCGTTAAAAATTTATTCCAAGTCTGCAAGGACGTTCTCACGTGATATTTCAAATATCACCCTTGCAGCCTTAGAATAATTTTTTAACGCTTTACCAAATTAAGAAAAAGGCATCTCCTTATCGTGCAACTGAAAGTTGCTGATGGCTTGCGCCATTTATCGGAATAAATATCAACTATTCTCGTTGATTTCTAATTATTCCAGAATTGGCCAAATACCCATTCTTGATTAATCAAGAAAAGCTAACCACGGACGCGTTTCGGGCTATTGGCCCTCATCAGCGTGGTGCAAGCTGTACCTCAACGACCAAAAAATGGGTCATTAAGGCATCCTGAAAAATCATGAAACGGGTAGTTAAGGCCAGAATTGCGTGAGACCGCGACACAATGTGAAAAAAATAGTACAAATGTAATATTGTACTGGGATAAGGTGCATAAATTAAGAAAAAGGCATCTCCTTATCGTGCAACTGAAAGTTACTGATGGCTTGCTTTGCCAAATGTTTTAATTTTTGTTCGCTCCTGACGAGGACAAAAGATTTTTGTCGAAACGCCAAGATAATAAAATGATTTACTGGCCGAAGTATCTTTATTTTTAAGAACAATGAATGCTGGCCAGGCAGCCTCTATCTTTATGATAGTAACTATAACCTTTCACAATTAAATTTGCATATTTACTTTCCTTCTAGAATATAATCTATATAAATAACCACACACAAAATCTGGGTTTGTTTGCTCCGTATAATTCACATAAAATATATTTTTCATTATAAAAATTCCTCCTTAAAATTAATTTATAATCAATTTCTCTAAATATTTCTGAAATTTAAGCTTAACAAAAAATATTTCCCATAAAAAAATGAGAAAATCTTTATTAAATTGTTTGCGGAATATATTCGGTACCACTGTTTGTATTTATTTTGCAGCAGATCTCCTGGGAGATTTAAAGCAACCGACAAATTCGATAAAACTTCAAGGCATATTTAAATTCTCGAGATTTTGCGTATTGGCACTATTTTCCCTGTTTTTTTTTTTTAAATACATATTTGAAATATATATATAATTTATTTTTCTAAAATATGTATGTAGGCTTAAACGCCCACTCCATGTAAATGATTAGGTCCTTAGTCAAAAGAATTATTACCGAAATCACTGAATATATATAGCTTTGCCATGGTAAAATATTGAATAGTTTAACATTTTAATTTATTATGATGCAATAGCGCGCCATCTGTTATGAAAATTCGAAACTATTATAGACGCGTATGATTCTTTTTTAAATAAAATAAATCTACTGTCCTTACTGCAATGGAGAAATTAATGGGAGGGCCTGGCTCATCAGTGGTGAACCTTCCGAGCGGTCTCGCAAGTTTACCATACTGATGTTATATTGCATTTTTCGATCTTTCTTTTATAGTGATACTGATGCTAGACTCTTGGAATGGGTATTTTAGATGAACTATAGACCTAAAATCAGGAATATCGCGTTATAGAATGTTAATAGATATCTTTCATATAATTAAAAAATAGGTTAAAAATAGGTATTAATACGTCGACCGTGCGGCCACGAGTCGCGCGAGCTCCGCGTTTTGTATCTGTTGTTCGCTTTTCGCTTGTCTCTGGTAAATTCAAATATCATATTCATTATCAGCATAAAAAATCTCATCAATATTGTATATTTATCATCTTTAGTATCACTGTTTGATTTTTTTTCGTTCTTTCAGTTTGCAATTTTGCATAACTTCAAGTCTCAAGTTGAGTCTTGAAGTATCATCGTCATGGCAACGACCAAGATTGGCGCTGCGTCATCAATTCCATCTGAAAGTTCATCGGATGTTCATGAATCACCAAAATCACCATCATCTTCGCAAGCCTTGAAGGCGATCTCTACACACTTACCAAATGAAGCAATAATATCTGAAAATATGCAAAAAACTAAACATTACTTTTCTCCTGAAGATAGGAAAAAATTCGACGAGGAAAGAAAGGCCACTTATGAAAGTAGAAGTA